CAGATAGCACACGGCGCCACATGTTTTAATTGTTTTAGTGTATAGTTCCAGCAAAGATTGCACGTGCTCTGCTATCACTGATATCACACTGCTGCACATTAAATAAATGAGTATGCTACTTATAATATCACACTGCGGTATTGGTGGGAGTGTTCTGTGGGTTTTATCACAACTGTTAGGCCTTTGATCTTTGCTGCAACTATACATTAATTAATGTTATAATACTAATGATAATATGAACTTGACAACAGGAAGAACCTGCAGGAATAGCTACAGGATTGCTGGGAAGATAGAGGTTCTTGAACAAGGATTCACGTCAAGACTATAGTATTCATTTCACTTGTCATCAGTATAGTAGATATTCTTTCACCATATCTATTCAATTCAATCAGTGCTGTCCCTCATAAATGCTGTAAAATCATAACAATGACAATAATAATAAAGAAACTTATTGTTTGTGTAAAATAAAAAAGTATCACAATAAAATATTTTTTAAAAATCAACACAAACAAGAACATAAAAAATTAAAAAAAAAAAAGATTGAGTAGGATTCTGAATGACCAATGAAAATACGAAATGAAAATCCTACTCTCGTGACGCAAATTCTACTTTACATTGTAAGGTGATCCATAACCTTTAAATAATAACATTTAAAGTACAATGTAGAGTAGAATTTGTGTCACAAGAGTAGGATTTTCATTTTGTATTTTCGTTGGTCGTTCGGAATCCTACTCAATCTTGTTTTTTTAATTTTTTATGTTCTTATAGTGGAATAGATTCAGTTCATTATATACTAGTACACACTCACTGACTCATTACTCACTTTGTCCTCCACTGCTACCTCCTGGTGGATCATCAGTATAATCAGAATCACTGGATGAATCACTATTACCATCTTCCACTTCCTCCTCAGTTTCCTCTTCTGCTTGTTCCTGTTGCTCCTCCTCCTCCTCTTCCTCTGACTCATCTCCATTAGCTAATGCATTGGGTATATGCTCCTCCGCAAGAATACAAACCAAACAGAAGTGTTTCCGTTGAATGGATCCATACCTACTATTAGAGCTAAACTCTCCTCCCTCAACTATTGAGAACTGGTAAGGAAGACTGGGTGTGTTGACTGGAGCTATAGCAAACTTTAAGTATTGTGCAAGATCTGGTCGTCCTGTTAAATCAACGCAGTGCTGCATCTCTAACTTCAGTTGTTTGAGGAGAGGCTTTGAGAGTGATACTGCATACACAGCACTGACTAGGACAGTATTAGGAGGAAACTGGAACTGTCCTCCTACAAGAGCAACCACTGCTGCTTCTACTGTCTCAGAGGACAATAGGCTTCCTTCTTGTACTCCAATCCTTACACCATATTTCTCCCAATTCATCAGTTGAGGTTTGTCTCCTTGAATTAAGAACAACTTCTTCTCTGCTATTTGGGACTCGCTCAGACCTTCCAAATTATCTATCAATTGTATAAAATACAGTCACTCAGTCAGCCACTCAGTCAATAATATTCTTACCCATTGAAGGGATCAGGTAGTTAAATTGAAATCCAATGGTACTAGTTTCTTTGATGGATTGTTCCTTTAAGGATGTAACTCTCTCCTGTAGTTGCTCCTTCTCCTTCATTAGTTGGGTTGTATACAATTCATTATAAGCAACTGTAGCTCTAAGTTTCTCATTATCTTCTACATTAATAGACTCATCTAATATTATATGTACTGATGATACACTAACCAGTAATAATCTGTTTCTCTTGTAGCACCTCTTCCAATTTCTCATTCATAATAACTAATTCATTGGCATCAACTTTAGAGCCTGGAATTATTATAGCCAGCATAATGTCTTATTGGCAATAATAATTACCATTAAACATTATGCATGCAGCATATAAGGTGTGCATAATATCACTAATTTACACATACATGTACCATAATAGCAGGAAATTTTGGAGGGAGTTAATATTAAATTTTGGTGACTGGCGACTTTGTGGCCACATGCCATGAGCATGCATATACATCAAATTCACCAAATTAAACTACCTCGAAAATTTCCCGCTATATGGTAATGTACAATTGTACATATTATTATTATTGCATTTTTAAACAAAAATTCGGTTTACCTGCTCTAATTTTGTCTGCTAAAGTTCGTTCTCCAAGTTCCTCTAATATCTCAACTAATCTCCTCCATGATGGCTTTCCTTTACTATCAACATCATCCTCTCTCCTCAACCAGCAAGACAAACACTCTACAAAACGATCCTCAACATTAGTTTTGTTAGCTTCTATAGTCTCAAGCGTATCGTTCTTGAGACCAGCTTTCAATCCAAATTGTCTCCAGTTGCGCGTAGAAAACTCTCCCTGTTCTAGCTTAGCCCACACTTTTCCCAAGTCACTGATATCTATAAATAAAAGAATGTAGAACAAAAGAATGATAATGGGAATATACCGAGACAAGAGTTATCTCGAAAAACTGCCTGGGCCATAATAGTAAACAGAATGTTGTAATATTGACCAATGAGCAATCAGATCAGATTCGATACATGACACACCCAAATTTTGCAAAATTGACCTCAGTCTCAGAGGATCACGTGATCCTGTATCCATCGCCAAAGGCGTGGCTTGTAAATGGCTACTTCTGAGCCAAAGCGTCTAGAGACAGGAATGGATCCAATTAGTTATGTGGGTGGTTTTATATCTGTAATACGCATGCGCATTACTCCCTCATGGACAAAAATCACAAAATGGCTGCCACCAACTAAATGTTTTTCATATTTCTAGTGCTGTCTTAGTGGTTCCAGGCCTTTTTGCTAGTTGTTTGTATGAGTTGGATCACTGATTAGACTAATAGAACCTTGCACTAGTTAATTTATTCTCAGACTGGTATAAATTATGCCTTTTTATATACTGTGACTATTGTAATCACCTATATATAGAATGTACCGTAGGTCGGGATATATTCGCGGCTGCTTATTTTCGCGATAATAAAAACTAATAAAAAGGTTCAATTAAATACCATGGAAAGCAATTGATTGTTGCTATGACAATGAGACCACGTATTTATACAATTACAGTGTTCAGCAGCTAATTATCTATTCTTTAGCAGCTTTAGCGGGAGCCATCCGGTTCTCCATCCGCTATCTTCTTGTATAGACCACTACCTTCGAGCTCTTTGCTACAAATCCTTGCCGCTCCACTTGCTGGTGATAATTAACCACACCCAAGTTAATAAATGGGTGGGGAGTCCCAAGAATGGGCCAAGATACGGCGAGGCAGAGTGAGGAGAGTAGCTCTGGTTAAAACAGCTCCAAAGAGACCCAAGATTAGTAAAAACAAGAAGAACAACAACCCAAGAACACTGCAACAGAGTCCTTTGCTCTTAATATCGCGGCCTTTTCAATTAAAATTGCATCTGGTAACCATGGTAATTGCTGAGCGCGGGGGAAAATTGCGAATACCGTAGGTCGGGTTATATTCGCGGCTGCTAATATTCGCGGTGATAAAAACTAATAAAGAAGTTCAATTAAATATCATGGAAACAAATTGATTGTTGCTATGACAATTGACCACGTGTTTATACAA